TTTTCCCCAAGACAGGGTCTCGCTCTGCTGCCCAGGCTGGAGTGCAGTGGCGTGATCGTGGCTCACTGCGGCTTCAACCTCCCGGCTCAAGCAGTCCTATGACATCTTCTTCTAAGGAGCTATGACTACAGGCCCGCACCACCACACCGAGCTGACGTTTTATTTTCAGTAAAGACAGGGTTTCACTTTGTTGCCCAGGCTGGTCTTGAACTTCTGGGCTCAAGCCATCCCCACATTGGCCTCTCAAAGTGCTGGGATTGTAGACATGAGCCACCTTGTCCAGCCTAACTAACCAGATCTTACATAATTAGTACACATGTGCCTAGTGCTTATCATATTGGACAGTGCAGACTGTAGAACGTTTTCATCACAGAAAGTTCTATTGGACAGTGCTGCTCTAGTCAATTTAGACTTACACTAGAATCAAGACTGACTTGAAAACTGAATACTTTTGCTAAGCATGGTAGCTCACACCTGTAATCCTAGCACTTTGGGAGGCCGAGGCGGGTGGATCATTTGTGGTCAGGAGTTCAAGACCAGCCTGGCCAACATGGTAAAACCCCGTCTCTACTGAAAATACAAAAATTAGCTGGGTGTGGTGATGGGTGCCTGTAATCCCAGCTACTGGGGAGGCTGAGGCAGAAGAATTGCTTGAACCTGGGAGGCAGAGGTTGCAGTGAGCCAAGATCACACCATTGCCACTGCAGCCTGAAGGACAAGAGCGAAACTCCATCTCAAAAAAAGAAAAGAAAAGAAAACTGAATACTTGAATTATATCATTTGGTCCTTGCAGGTATATGGTTTTTGATTAACAGATAGTCCTGTAACAGATAAACCCCACAAATCTAAATGGCTTTGCCCAGTTGAAGTTTCTTTCATGCATGGAGCCTTATAGGTGAGTAGTTTTCCTGCAAGCAGTGATATAGGGCCCTAGGCTCCTTCATCTAGTAATTCTCCATTGTCAGTATGTAGCTTTACTTAGGTCACTGTGTTTGTCTGCAACAAGCTATCAAATGGGAAAGTGTGGGTTTTCGCAAATGAGGCCTGGAAATGGCTCACATTTTATTGCCTTGGGTGCAGTCATGGGCCACATCTAACTTCAAGGAAGGCTGCAAAATGTGGTGCATGTATAAGTATATGACTAGGTTGAAGAGGAAATGGGTTTGGTAGGCACCTAACCAGTATTTGTTACAAGTGTTTGGCCCTTAGCCTGCCCTGAGAAATAGTCTCAAGAAACAGTCCTAGAAGTTTGTTGTTGCATTTACTATAAGAATATTTGTGAGGATTATTTTTTCAGTATAACTCATTATCTTATATATGATGATCCATACTTGCCTTGATTGCCGTGGAAAGCTTAATATTTTCTTGAGTTCCTAGGGTACTTTTTTCTTTATGGAAAAAGTAACTGTGACTTTTTGTTTTGATTTTTAGGAAGCTCACTGCCGAATGTGTATACAAGTATAGTACTGTGTAGAATTTTTTTTTTTTCATACGGAGTCTCACTCTGTGATCTGAGCTCACTGCAACTGCTGCCACCCTGGTTCAAGCAATTCTCCTGCTTCAGCCCCCCGAGTAGCTGGGACTACAGGTGTGCACCATCACGTCGCGTCTGGCTAATTTTTGTATTTTCAGTAGAAATAGGGTTTCACCATGTTGGCCAGGCTGGTCTTGAACTCCTGACCTCTAGTGATCCACTGCCTCAGCCTCCCAAAGTGCTAAGATTACAGGGGTGAGCCGCCACCCCTAGCCCCCTGTGTAGAATCGCAAAGTGTGTATGACTGCATTATAACTTTCTCATGTGCTTGGTTTGCCCTTAAATTTCTGAATTTTGATCCTGATTTTTCTGAATTTGTTTTTTTTTCATCTTTTTGTTTATGTTTATATTTATATTGTGTAAAATGTCTCAACTTGTTTGGTATAATAAAGTGAGATTGTAAACAAGCAGTCTCTTTCTCCAAAATGCAAATGTTTGAAAATCATCATTGGCGTTCATTTCTATTTGTATTTTGTCTTTTTTGGTGTGAAATCGTAAAATCCCAGAAAAGAACACAACAAGAGCCCTTGTTTCATCACCCAGCTTTTAACATCTTTAACATTTTGTCATATTTGATTCAGGTCTTGATTTTTAAGATGAAGTTTTAAAAATACATTGAGCTCAAAGTCCCGTGATGACCCCTAGATCCAAAGAATGAAATCAATTTATCGTCCCATTCCTTTGTCCCTGTGTGCCAGGCAAAGAGAACTCATCTCATAGTTTACTACCTTACTGTCTTACTGCTTCCTTCGTCTGAATGGCTCTCCCTGATAATTTAGACCTTTCCAAATCCTCAATCCCTTTTATGGTTCAGCTTAAGTGCCTTCATTTCCACGAAGCCCATGTCTCCCCTGTTGTACCTATAATCCTTTCCTTTTTTGAACATCACAGTTTGGTGGGTTGTGTAATCGCTTTCTTTTTTCAACTCCATAGTACTTGGTTCATACTTTTAATATGGCACTTGTTCTCTGCCAAGCTTGTTTTGAGGGGTTGTGACAGAAAGGAGTTGCATTTATTCTGAAATATCAGATAGTTAAGGTTATATGAAATGTATGTTTTGTCTTGGTGAAAAGTAGAATCTGTGGTTTGAAAAGCATGTTTGCATTGTATTGTAGAAAGCTTTGGATACTGTGCTAATTATGTTGAATTTTATTATGTAGGCAGCAGGGAGTTAAGACCAATCCTTCCTACTTTTTTCCGTCTTTCTTACTGGCATTTCTGTCTTATTAGCAAGCTCAAAGACCTTAAGGTGGAAGCATGCCTGGGTTATTGAAGGACTAGCAATGATCAGATAATGTAGAACAATGGTGTTCAAAATGCAGTTCTTGGGTCAGCAAAATCTACATTACCTGGAAATTTGTTAGAAATGCAGATTCTTAGGTCCCCTCCCAGACATAGTGAATCAGAAATTCTGAGGGTGAGGTCCAGAAATCAGTGTTTTAATGGGCCCATGAGGTGATTCTAATACGCTGACACTGCATGTCTCCTAGATATATCAGAGTTAGAATGACATAGAGGACTTGTTGAAACATAGATTGTTGGGGCCTGAGAATTTGCAATTCTAACAAGTTTATAGGTGATACTGGTGACGATTGGTCAGGAAACATTTGGGGAACGACTGTTGTTGGTTATTATGAAGCTCTTTGGCCACTGCTCCTGGTGAGTCAGGAAATCCTTAGGAGTTTTTGAGCAGAGAAGTCACATGATCTTATGTACATTTTCAAAGGTTTACTCTGGCTGCTGTGTTGAGAATTGGGTGGAAGAGGCAAGACAGACAGCAGAGAGACCAGGTAGGAGGTTGTTGGAGTAATTCAGGCAGGAGATGATGGTTTGAATCACAGTGGTATCAGTAGAATTGGTGAGAGGCGTTGGATTCTGGAGACATTTTGACTGCAGAGATGGCAAAATTGGTGATGAGTTTGGTACAGGATATGAGGGGAGGAGGAGAAGGATCAAGTGTGTACCAAAATTTTTGGTTCAAGAAATGGAAGGATGGAGTTGCTATTTAGAAAGATGGGGCAGGTTGCAAAAGGAATAGGTTTGGGAGAGAGATAAGGCAGGAGAGAAGGAACATGGGCCTTCCGTGTTGGACATTTTAAGTTCTGGAGTGATCTTGCCAATGGTATTTAGATGGAATGGGCCTAGCCTGGAACACTAGGTGGATGGGAGAGGATGGAAAAGAGAGATCAGAGCACTGAACCCTGGGCATGCCACCTGTACTACGGTTTTGGAGAGTTGCGCTGTTTTAGGTGCTGGGAATACACAGACAGTATTCTACTCATTCCTTCTTTCAGCAAGCCTTTGTTGAATGGCCACTATGTGGCATGCATAGTAGGTGCATGGAATACAGTAGTGAACAAAACAGAAAAAGTCTGAAAGTATGTAATTTTAAGGAACTTACAGTGTAATTGGGGACTAGAGACTGTAAACCTAATAAATAAAAGAATGTTGTGTGGCAGTACCTACCTTGAGGAAAGACAAAGGAGAAGCAGAAGGTTGGGAATGCCTGGGGGTGGAGATTGGGAGGACTTGCTTGGTATATCAGATGGCCAGGGAAGGCCTTACTGATGAGGTGATATTCCAAGGGAGACCTTAGGGAAGTCAGGGAATTGACCTAGTAAATATCTAGGGGACAAGTATCCTGGCAGAGGGAACCAGGAAGGGATAGCCCTGAGGCAGGGCTGTATTTGATTTGGGGATAGAAAGAGAAGAATTCTGAATTTTGGATTCTGAATCCTGGGGCCCTCCAGCATTCGGAGCTCTAGGAGATGGAGAGGAACTAGTAAAGGAGAATGAGAACAAGAACAAGGGAGGCAGGTGCAGAAAGTGCATCAGGAAGGGAGTGATTAACTATGTTGCATACTGCTGGCTGATAGGTCAGAGGGGATAAGGGCTGAGCATTGATAATGAATTTAACATTAGGTCTTGTCAAGTGACCTTGACAAGAGCAATTGCAGTGAAGTGGTAGAGATGGAAACCTAGTGGGAGTAGGTACAAGAGAGAATGGAAGGAGAGGATGTGGAGACAAATGTAGATAAACCTACAGAGGAGTTTTGCTCTAAGGCTGAGTGGAGAAATGGGGCTGGTAACCAGAGGGGTAGGTGGGAGGAAAGTCGGAGGATGTTTTTGAGGTGGGAGAAGTAACCGTGTATTTGCTGAAGGGAATGATTCAGTGGAGAGGGAAAACGTAATGGTGCAGGAAAGCAGGGAGACTTGCTGGGAGAATGTCTTGGAGTAGGGAGGGAGAGCTGGGATCTGGTGGGTAACTGGAGTAGAGGTGGCCTTGTCTAGGAGCAACAGTTTATTCATTTTAACAGGACAGAAGGCAGAGTGTATGAGAATTGATGCTGATAGGTGGGGAGGTAAGCAGTGGGAGCTTGCGAAATCTTTTTTCTGACAGCTCTGTTTCCTCAGGAAATTAGGAAACAAGATCTTTCAGTGAGAGTGAGGGTGGAGGAGGAGGTGTTGGAAGTTTGTAGTGAGTGGAGTCGTAAAGGAGCATAACAGAATCAGGAAAAGTCACGTATTGTCTTGAGTTACGTACTCTGCAACGATTTGTGCTGTTCATTCCTACCTGCCTTTTCCTTTGCCTAAATGCCCTTCTCCATTACCCTTCCATTTGTTAAACTTCGTCCTTTATCCTTTAAGCTCAGTTCTATGTTGCCTTCTCTGATGCGTTCAGGCAAAGTTGAGTATTTTCTTATCTGTGCCTCAGTTTTACAGTAAGTCTCATGTTGCTTTAATTATTGAGTTTGTTTTATGTCTGTCTCTCCTGCTCAATGGTGAACCCCTGAGAGTAGAGGCTGATATTTTTTTTTTTTTGAGACTGAGTCTCACTAAGTTACCCAGGCTGAAGTGCAGTGGTGCAGTCTCAGCTCACTGCAACCTCTGCCTCCCTGGTTCAAATGATTCTCCTCCCCAGCCTCCTGAGTAGATGGGATTACAGGCGCCTGCCACCATGCCCTCCTAATTTTTGTATTTTTAGTAGAGACAGGGTTTCGCCATGTTGGCCACGCTGGTCTCAAACTCCAGACCTCAGGTGATCGTCCTACCTCGGCCTCCTAAAGTGCTGGGATTGCAGGTGTGTGAACCACTGTGCCTGGCCAGAGGCTGAACATCTTTAGTGCCTAGGATAGAGCCTGGCTCGTGGTAGGTTTTCATCAAATTAGAATAACAAAATGATGCTTTAAAAGGAAAGGCTTTCTCATCTTGAAAACTGTGATATTCTCATGCTAAAGGAAGTGCTTGGCACTTAAGATGATACTAAATATTTGAATTGACAATTAGTTGAACTGTGGATGTTTGCGGTAAACAAACACTTCAAATTAGAAATCTTATGTATCTCTGTATCTTATGTGTCTCTATGCCCTTCTCTTTTCATATTCTGTGTATTTTTGAATGGGTCTCGTGATTGACATGGTAGGTACTCAATACTTATGAGTGAAATGAATGAATGAACCTAATTAAAAAGGACTAATAACAGAGAAACTACAGCAGTAGTTCAGCTGTGAGATGAAGGTGATAGCAATGATGAGGATGAAAACGCCAGAGACACTGAACAGTTCCCCACTTAGGTAGGGCAGAAGGGAAGGTTCTAATGCTAATTAATTGTGTACTGTGTGCTATACTATACCATGATTATTCCTTCCCATTTTAAAGATGGTAAACCTGAGATTCAGAGATGGTTAGCAGTTTTCATGTTATGTCTATCTGATTCCATGAAAAAATCCCTTTTTCTGCTGCCATACAGCCTTGATAATAGCCCTCGCATCCCTTTACAGCTATTAATTCTCCCCACTTTTCTGGCTGGCTTCAGTGGATTGAATTTCAAATGGCCTCTGAATTAAGCAAACATGTCCTTTTGTAGGCAGCTTTACATTGCTTTACTAAGCTTAAAGAAACTGTGGTTGAAGATAGAGATTAGGAAGTGTTAAATATGAAGGTAATAACTGAAACTGTTATAGTGGATGTACTGCCAGAAGACACGTATGTAGAGAAATTCTGCTTTTACTGACTCTGGGATCTCACCAAGTCTATTAATCTGTTCGAAGCCAGAAGAACTGGCAGGAATATAGATTTTCTCTTTTTTTTTTTTACAGTTTGCAGAATTCAATACACATATATGTTGGATAGTTTAACAATTATGGGTTTTCAAAATAGTTTACTAATAAACTATTTTATTAGTATTTTTTTCCCTTTGGAAAATTGCATCATATGAGTGGTATACTTTTTCTAACCCATTTATCTTTTTGGCCTTCAAGAATGGTGCTGTTGTTGACTTCTTCACAGAATCAGGCTCTCTTTTAGAAGAGGGTAATATTCCTCCAAAAACTGAGGATACTTACCTTCCACATATATTGAGTCCAGCTGTGTTTGGTGGCCCAGGTGGGTGGCACAATGATTTGGTGTCTTTTCTACAGGCTATCCCTAATGGGATATTTGTGGGATACATTTATGGGATATTGGATACATTTGTATGAATGTTTACAGCAGTTTTATGAATATTTTCCTACGCAGTTATTATTCTGACTTATGAATCTTGTTTTATTGTTTGAAAATATAGGTAATAATTTCAAGATGCCAGGACGTTCCAGTTCAAATTCAGGTTCAACTGGTTTCATCTCCTTCAGTGGTGTAGAGTCTGCTCTCTCCTCCTTGAAAAACTTCCAAGCCTGTATCAACTCTGGTATGGACACAGCTTCTAGTGTTGCTTTGGATCTTGTGGAAACTCAGAGTAAGTAAAATTAAGACTTCTTTTGTGCCTACTTTGAGATAACACCGTGTGGTGGTATCACTCTGGGGGTACCTTTTGAGTATCCTTGGGGGAATGGTTTAACCCGTTTAGGCATCTGTTTTCTCATCTTGTTCTACATACCGCAGCAGGGCACTGAGGGTGAAATGAGGTTGATTCATTCATGTGTGTTCAGTTAAGTTCTGCTATAAACTGCACTAGAAATTTATGGGCAAAGATAGGAAGATCCTGACCTCAAGGAGCATACAATCTAAAGTATATGACATTTGTGAACTGTAAGGTATATAAATTTATTATGATATTGTTATTTTCCAGTAGTTTTTACTTTGTTCATACTTGATTACCCAGTAGCTAGACTAAGCTTATGCTAGGGATACCAGCAAAGGAAGGCCTCAACAAAAACGAGAAAAGTTCAACTTAAATGAATTTTACCTACATTTGTCCAATCAAGAAGATCTAGAAAGATGTTATTTGCAGGCTGGGCAGCATGGCTCGTGCCTGTAATCCCACCAATTTGGGAGGCTGAGGTGGGCAGATCACGAGGTCGGGAGTTCGAGACCAGTCTGGCCAACATGATGATACCCCATCGCTGCTAAAAATACAGAAAATTAGCTGGGTGGAGTGGCAGGTGCCTGTAATCCCAGCTACTTGGGAGGCTGAGGCAGGGGAATTGCTTGAACCCAGGAGGTGGAGCTTGCAGTGAGCTGAGATTGTGCCACTGCACTCCAGCCTGGGCAACACAGCAAGACTCCACCTAAAAAAAAAAAAAAAAAAAGATGTTATTTGCTTTCTTTGAAGTAGAATCGTTATTTTATTTTACATATGGAGCCAGAGGAGCAGCATAATCCTTTTTTTTTGTTTTTAACGGCATAAGTTTTGAGCAGTTTGTGACATGCCTTGGTGTGATTTTCTTTGTTTGGCCTGTCTGATGTTGTTTGAGTTTTATACATCTGTCAACTTACAGTTTTTGAATCAAATTTGGAAAGAATTCTGCTACTATTTCTTCAAATATATTTTTTTATTCCTCCTCTCTCTTCTGTGTCACTCACATTTCATGCATGTTAGATGGGTTGGTATTGTCCCATAAATCAGTGAGACATGATAGTCTTTTCCCAGTCTTTTTACTCTTTAACTTCAATTTGCATAATTTCTATTGCTAAGTTCATTCATCTTGTCTACCGCAGTGTCTAATCTGATAATTCCATTTAGTGAATTTAAAAATTTCAGATATTATATTTTTAATTGTTGAAGACATTAGAAAGAATTAAGTAGAATCTTTTTTTTAGTTTTCCATTTCTTCTTCATTGTGTCCATGTTTTCCTCTACATTCTTGAGTATATGGAGCATGTTTATAATAGCTATTTTAATATCCTTGAATTTTAATTCTGTCATCTCTGTGTGTATTATGTTGTTGAGTGTTTGGATTTTGTTTGTGTGTGTGTGTGTGTGTGTGTGTGTGTGTATGTGTGTGTGTGTGTGAGAGAGAGAGAGAGAGAGAGAGAGAGAGAGAGAGATGGAGTTTCACTCATGTTGCCCAGGCTGGAGTGCAATGATGCGATCTTGGCTCACCACAACCTCTGCCTCCCAAGTTCAAGCGATTCTCCTGCCTCAGCCTCCCAAGTAGCTGGGATTATAGGCATGCACCACCACGTCCAGCTAATTTTGTATTTTTAGTAGAGATGGGGGTTTCTCCATGTTGGCCAGGCTGGTCTCGAACTCCTGACCTCAGGTGCTCTGCCTGCCTTGGCCTCCCAAAGTGCTGGGATTACAGGCATGAGCCATTGTGCCCAGCCTATTGTCTTCTTCTAAACAGTGTTGGCGTTTGTTTTGGTGGGCAGCTGAGTGATTTGTGGATTAGGCCGATCCTTTCCAGGCTTGTTGTTAAACTTTGTTAGGGCAAGTCTAGTGTAGCCTTTATGTTAGGGCTAATTTAGCCTTGTTGCAGTGCATGGCCCTTCTGGAGTCTCTGTTGATTTCCCCGAGGGTTCAGTGAGATAGCTCTACTCTGGCTGGATGGAATTTCAATGTCTCCCGGTCCTAGGTTCTATGTGACTGAACATCTCCCAATTCTGGTAGTTTTTCACTTTCTAGCTGTCAGCAGTTATTCTTCAGCACGTTAGGATTCAGCATCAGATTCAAGAGGACCCCAGTCCAGATTCCTGGAGCTCTTTATCTGCATAGCTCCCTCTCAGTGCCTTCTCTTGCAGATCCCTGCAGGTTGCCTCAGCCTCCCTGAACTCCAGCCTCTGTCTCCTCAATTCTTCAAGACTGCTGTGCTGGGCCAGGCATGGTGGCTCAAGCATGTAATCCCAGTACTTTGGGAGGCTGAGGCAGGAGGATCACCTGAGGTCAGGAGTTCGAGGCCAACATGGTAAAACCCTGTCTCCACTAAAATACAAAAATTAGCCAGGCATGGTGGTGTACGCCAGTAGTCCCAACTACTCAGGAGGCTGAGGCAAGAGAATCTCTTGAACCTGGGAGACAGAGGTTGCAATGAGCCAAGATTATGCTACTGCACTCCAGCCTAGGCAACAGAGCAAGACTCTGTCTCAAAAAAAAAAAAAAGATTCCCTTGGATTTCTCCTCCCTTGTGAAGGGAAAAAGGCATTGCAAGACTTTCCCAGTTTTCCCTTCTTGCAGTAGTTGCAGTCCTGTCCTGCCTTTGTCCCACTGGCTAAGGCTGCTGTTTCATATATTTTGTTTGGTTTTCAGTCACTCATGGCAGGAGAACCAGTTCCTACAGTTATTCACTTATGGCTGACAGCAGGTATCACCTATAATCTTTTTAGTGGGTGGCCTCCAAATGTCTTAACCCTACCTAGTTTTGGAGTATAATTTTGGTGATGATAGATAATTTGGCTTTGATAGGTAGGCTTGGATAAAAGTCACAATAAAATCTTAAACCATAAGAGAGCAGACTGGAACATAACCCCCTTGGGAGATTGTATCAGTTTTTTTCAGGATTCTCTTTGAAGATTCCTGAGAGTTTTAGCTGCAGAATTTTTTTTTTTTCTCTAAGTTTTGTTTGTTTTAAATAAGAAGAATTTTTTGGTGTAAAAGTGCAACATAGCTTGTGCAATTTAAAATGAATATAAATATCATTTTTGAAATGTGCATGCTCTAAAGCAGAAGTTGGTGAAGTTTTTCTATAAAGGTCCAGATAATAAATATTTTCAGCTCTGTGGGCCATATGGTTTCTGTCACAACCTGCTGTTGTAGTGCAAAAGCCACCATAGACAGTACCTAAATGAATGGGCATAGCTGTGGTCTTATAAAACTTGATTTACAAAAATGGGCAGTGGGCCAGATTTGGCTCACAGGCTTTAGTTTGTCAACCCCTGCTTTAGTGCCACAGTTTGTCATTAAGCAACTTTTAAAAGAAAGATTTATTTTTGTTATTTGGATTAATTTTACAGCAAATACTTGGTTTCACATTTATCAAAAAAAGTTAAAAATTTGAGGCTGCGTGCGGTGGCTTACGCCTGTAATCCCAGCACTTTGGGAGGTCGAGGCGGGTGGAACATGAGGTCAAGAGATCGAGACCAACCTGGCCAATATGGTGAAACCCTGTCTCTACTGAAAAATACAAAAATTAGCTGGGTGTGGTGGCATGTGCCTGTAGTCCTAGCTACTTGGGAGGCTGAGGCAGGAGAATTGCCTGAACCTGGTAGACGGAGGTTGGAGTGAGCCGAGATTGCGCCACTGCACTCCAGCCTGGCACCTGGTGACAGAGCAAGACTCTGTCTCAAAAAAAAGAAGAAAAAAAAAAAAAGGAAAAATTTGAGCAAATTATATGGGAAAAAGTGAACTAAAGAACTTGGACAGATACAGAGTCACCAGGAGCCTAGAATACTGATGAACTCAATACATATATGGATACATGCACACATTCCCATGCGTGCGTGCTCACACACACACACACACACACACACACACACACACACTTTAATGCCAAGAGTTGGAATAACAAAGTAGTCAACATAAATTACCCAGTGACTATTCTGCATATGATTCAGCTTTAGGTTTTAAAGAGAACATAAACAAGTATTAAGTAATTCCTCCTTTCATAGAGTTTACCATCTTAGTGGGAAGACAAGCACGTATTAAAATACCAGAACAATAAGAAAACAGAAAAGATGTTATAAAGCCGCAAGTAATTAATATCCCTGCTGATCTTATCAGAAAAGACATACGCTCTCAAATTTATAATGGTGAACACAAATTTTTCAAAGTTCTAATTTTTTCTTTAAAACTTTCATTTTGGCCAGGTGTGATAGCTAACGCTTGTAATCTTAGCACTTTAGGAAGCTGAGGCAGTTGGATCACCTCAGGTTAGGAGTTTGAGATCAGCCTGGCCAACATGACAAAAACCCATCTCTACTAAAAATACAAAAAATTAACTGGGCGTGGTGGCAGATGCCTGTAATCCCAGCTACTCAGGAAGCTGAGACAGGAGAATCGCTTGAACCTGGGGGGCAGAGGTTGCAGTGAGCTGAGATCATGCCACTGCGTTCTAGCTTGGGTGAAAGAGTGAAATTCTGTCTCAAAAAAAAAAAAAGAAAAAGAAAAAACTTTCATTGTGTCATTAGCAACAAATTCTGTTTGGTGTTGTCTTGGAAATTACAGATGCACAGGCCCACTTTCTTCATTTTTAAGAAAATATCTTTCAGATATCCAAACCTGAATAACCATAGTTTATCTGTGAATTGTTCTAAATTGTACTGTTTTATCAAGGTTATTCCTAAATGAAACTAGCATTTGCTTTACTATGAGTGTGTGGTGAAGAAGAATACAGTGATCTATGAGAGTACAACAGCTCGGTGCCACTGGTCTGATTTTTGCTAAGGCATCAGCATTTTTTTCCACAATTGATTTTGCACCATCAGTACAAATGTTCAACACAGTTGAAAAGGAAAAGCAAACAAACCACCCCAGACAAATAGCATCTTAAAATTATGATGAAAATAGGCCAGGCATGGTCA